GGAGGGAGGGAGGAAAAAGGAAGAAAGGAAGGAAGGGAGAGAGAGAGAAAGGAAGGAAGGAAGGAAGGAAGGAAGGAAGGAAGGAAGGAAGGAAGGAAGGAAGGAAGGAAGGAAGGAAGAATTCTAGCTCTACTGAATTGTCCAGTATAGGCAGCTGTGATGGTTTTCACAGTTTAAACTGATTGAATTGAGAAAAACCCAGCGGGGTAAGAAGCAAACCTCAGAATGTATCTGTGGTGGCATTTCCAAACACTTAGAACATGAGGGTTCTCTTGTAGGCAATAGATGAAATCCTTGAAGCAGCATTATAAAGAGGCCGTGAAAGGCAGAAGGCAGAGCCTACTCAGAGGAACTGGGTCACTGAGGGTGTGCCATTGGAGCCGGATCTGCCCTGGTCTCCTTCCCCTTTCCCTTTTCTTTTCTTGTCTTCAGTGAGAAAGATCTTCTGTTACCATGATGTTTAGCCATGAGGCCAAATAGCCACAGACAAAGCCCTCTGAAACCAGGAGCTTACTTCTCGCTACTTAGTTCAAACTGCCTCCCTTTTAATTGCTTATACCACACACACACTCACTACTATGACAGTGTGTCCAGGCTGGGTGGAAGAGGAGATGGAGGAACTCAGAACCAACTTGTTTTCATTAGATTCTCTCAGCTGAAAAACTTTACAAATGTCCTATTTTTCCCATCAATATTATTTTGTCTTTTGTGCACTCCTCTGCTTGTCTTGCTGCTTCCTTGCCTGATAATATCCAAAGTGTAGAAAAGAAACTCTTTGTCTCAGTAAGTCTTGATTAGCGCCAACAAGCTACAATAATTTGAATGGAGCGCTAGTATCTAGTGAGTGGTAGCGAATGAACAACTTTACCATTTCTTGGCACACGGTGACATGACGTTCAGCCAGTGCCTTGGTAGATTTGCTATCAAAAAATTAAATCTTGAAGGTGAATTTTATTTTATAATGCAATGAAAGAGTGGTTAGCATGTTAAAAAAAATGGTGTATCTGTCATGGCTAGAGACTATACAAGGCGCCTCCTGAATATTAACCTTCAACAGGCAATGAAAGGAGACAGAGACAGAGACCCACATTGGAGCACTGGACTGAAATCTCAAGGTCCAAATCAGGAGCAGAAGGAGAGAGAGCACGAGCAAGGAACTCAGGACCACGAGGGGTGCACCCACACACTGAGACAATGGTGATGTTCTATCGGGAACCCCCAAGGCCAGCTGGCCCAGGTCTGAAAAAGCATGGGATAAAACCGGACTTAGTGGACAATGAGGACTACTGAGAACTCAAGAACAATGGCAATGGGTTTTTGATCCTACTGCATGTACTGGCTTTGTGGGAACCTAGGCAGTTTGGATGCTCACCTTACGAGACCTGGATGGAGGAGGGTGGTCCTTGGACTTCCCACAGGTCAGGGAACCCTGATTGCTCTTTGGGCTGATGAGGGAGGGGGACTTGATCGGGAGAGGGGGAGGGAAAAGGGAGGCGGTGGCGGGGAGGAGGCAGAAATCTTTAATAAATAAATAAATTTAAAAAAAAAAAGAAAAAAAGAGCCATTAAGTGTAGGCTCTGAATCCTAAAGCTGACTCCCTACTCAGAAAGAGGAAGCGTAGTAGACAGTAATAAAAAGGATCACACAATCTGTTCCATGCTAATGTTCACTGCTGAGTGCTGGGAGTTTATTTTGTTTCCTCCTCCATACCAAGTGCTTTCTGAACGTTACCTCTTTAAATCCCTAGAGCATTCTTATGGGGGTTGAAACTATTATTATTCTCATTGTAGGAATATGAAAACTCACGCAAAGATTAAACAACTTGTCAGGATCTCATTCTGACATGAAACCAGATCCCACCCTTAAACATCAGGGGATCTGCCTTGCCAGGAAGCTCACAGCATAGGACAGCAAAGCACATCGAGAACCAGAGAATAGATATGGCTCCCGGCTGGAGAAAGGAGAAGCCTTCTGGGGGAAAGAGAGGGCGAAGACACACGTGCGGCTGGCAAGTGAGAGTCATGGGTCACCTGGGTTCCAGTGGTGAACCTGCTGCCTGCAGGGGACCCTACATGCAGGGAAACTGGCTGCCAAATAACAGTAGTGGGCATTAATAAAACCAAGTTGAAGTCAGGTCATGGAGTGACTGCCCTAAAAAGTCACCCCTAGGGACTGGGGTCACAAAATGCAGAATATAAGCTGATTCTTTCAATGATTCTCTGCAAGAGGTTACAAGGCGTGAAGTCAAGCTGTGGGCAGGAAATTCCAATAAAAAAAAGTGAAAAAGCTTTCTGGGATCTAGCTAAACTCCACCCCTGAGCATCTTACATTCTAGTCCTTAGCAGGAGCTATCAAACACTAAAGTATTTTTCAACTTTGGCCCAGTCATCTAAAAGGACCATCTCGGATGAATCTACGCCAAATCCTTTTCATGTGACTCTTGTCCTCATCGGTGAGCTTAGGTACCATCATCCCCATCACCAATCACAGTTGTGCTACAGATGAGGACATGGAGGTTCAGGGGCGCTGAGTACTGGACATAGGGCGTCACACATGCTAGGAGTCTTAGGGCTTCTATTGCTCTGAAGAGACACCATGACCACAACAACTCTTATAAAATAAAACATTTAATCGGGGTGGCTCACTTACAGTTTCAGAGGGTCAGTTTGTTATCG